TTAATTATAGATATGCTCCTTAATTATCTCAATCTGTTTTTAAAGGTAACTTTTATTGATTTTTATCCTAAAAAAATTCTATTCTGTTATCTATCTTTCCATAAACGTGTTTCATTTTTTTTTCCAGAAATTGAACTATATTTATATATTCGAATTCTGTCATATTGTATCGTTTTTTTCTTTTGAAAAACAATTAAAATTGAAGGTTGAAAAGGTTTATATTTTATTTGATGGAGAAAATAGTGTCAATTTTAATTAAACATGGTGGCAAATGGAATTCATCAGGTTAGGTTTTTTTTAATATTTTAGTAATGTTTTATTTTTTCCCCTTGTTATATTGCAATGTTAAATTGATATAATTTTTTTTGTGAAACATTAATTCAGTGTTTCTACTAATAAAAATTTCGTAATATTAAATGTATTTTCATGTGTAATTAAAACAAAGAATGATGGTAAATGTGATTACTGGTTAATTATAAATTTTAAAGTTTTTGATAAATTTAGCAAATTTTTTGTTTTTGAAACATTAGAACAAATATCTGACATTTTGTATTAATAATGTATACATTTTGTATTTTAATGCATATAAATAGTGTATGAACAATATATACGAAAATCAATGTTTATAGTTATACGTAGCTATTATTGATTTGTAATATATATATATATATATATATGAATTCTGTATAAAAATTGAATTAACTGTATATTATTTTTTATATTAAATTGGATAAATTGAGTATGAAATTGTATTTTAGATTGTATGTAGTATTTAGTTGTGTAGTATGCAGTATGTATAAAAATTGTTTTAATTTTGTATTAATTTAAAATTCTGTTATTGTATATATAAGTGACTTGTATATAATTTTGTGTATTGATTTTTGTAGTAACCAATGTATTAATTGTGTATTAATTATAATAGTGTATAAATAGTGTGTTAATTGTGTATTAAAATATGTATAAAGTGTGTATTATTTTTTGTACAAATTGTATGAAATGTGTGGTAAAAAGTGTATGATTTGTGTATTAATTTTGTATGAAGTGTGTATTATTTTTGTACGAAGTGTATGAATTGTGTGGTAAACAGTGACTTGTATATAAATTGTGTATGAAATGTGTGTTAATTATGTACGAATATATTTTTAATTTTACTATGGGATGCACTGAATGTAATTTTAATGTTGTGAAACAGGGAAATACGTCGACTTTCAAAATGGAGGGCATCCTATACGATACTTCTATTCTTTATACTGGTTTAGTTAATTCTATAGTAACTCAGCTAAACATAGAAGAAAATCTAAATTCTGTTGAGATAAAGTATATAGTTAGCGAAATGTGTCCACCTATAAAAATTCATAATGATGTTGGGGTAAAGGTTTATCTAGATCAGATGAGGGTGAATTTGGATTTTTTTACAAAATATCCATTATGCATTACTTTGAAAGATTGTGGGCAGTATAACGAATGTCATAGAGTTATAGTTAATGATATAATAAATTCTGATGTTAGATTATCACAGAATAACATAGATCTATACTCCAACAATTCTATCCGTTTGATCGGAATGGATTTAGACGGAGTTGTCAATAATAATAGTGAAGTAGATAATGATATAATATGTGATCATTCTAATTTATTTGTAGCTGAAAATCAGATTTATAATAATAAAGAAACCCTTAAGGAGGTTATGAGGCATGTTGGACTTGTTGAGAAGTTCAGCTTTCGGGTTGCACGTTGTAATGCATCTAAGTAAGTTTAAATTTATTTTCTATATTTTTTTTGTTTTGTTACAATGTATATATATTGTAATGTATATTTTATTAAATTTTGTAACAGTTATCGT